ATTTCTTCCAACTGATCACTTACGCACATTTTATCACAGCCAGGCTGGAGACATCGCTGTGAGCCTCCACCTCCTGCCTGCTGCTCCATGGCCTGACAATAAGTGGACCCCAGTCTGGGGGGAGTTGGGAGTGCTCGACCAGGGTATACCTTCTGTACTTGTAGTTGGATTATCTGCAGGTTTGCTTCATCCTTGAACATCTGGATAAAATGTCTAACTGTGGATACGATGTCCATCAAAATCAAAGACCGCTTTACCGAGAGAATTCTGAGAGGATCCTTGCTCACAAAGAAGCACATCATATAAGACAGAATCTTTAAATGACATTTCAGTCCAATACACCCAGAATATCCTCTAGTTAGCGGGTAGAAAAAATAAGTTACCGTTCTACGCGCTGAAATTTGTTGTACCATCGACGATCCGACGATCCCAAGCTGCTGCTACTGTGGCTTCTGTAGCTTCTGTAGCTGCTGATGTTGCATGCAACTCCTCCGATGGTTTGTGGCCTGTCTGGGACGTTCTTCGTCTGCAGCCCAGCTCTTGTCAGTCCGGCAGCAGCAACAACAACAAACTATCGATCGCTGGCAATCGATCAAGTATTTCGCGTACATTATCCGAGATGCGTGGGATAATTCTGTTCTAATTTGTAGAGGCCGAGGCAGCGGTATCCGACTACCGACTGACGTCAACCGAAAAAGAGAACCTGGCCCCAAGACAAAGCCAAGCCACGAGGGCTGATGGGCCCCACTGTCATGCTAAGCACGCAGCAATCTCGACTTTTGTCATAATTAAATATTGAGGGAATATTAAAATGCTGGGCTGGCAAGGAAGTTCTAACTGGACAGGACGGAAGGACGGAAGGGCGGAGTGTGCGGCGCGTGGTGTGGGGAGTTCTGAACTTCCGTTGTCGCTGCACTTGTCACAGTGCCGAAGGGAGTCCGCGCTGAATGCAAATGAGCTTTTGGCCAACTGGAAAACCGGTAACGAGTAACTGCCAGCCGGTAATCAGGTGAAATGGTCACGACCTGTTAATCGTTTTATGATTGTAGCGGTGCTTTTGTTTCCTGTGGCCGGACAGACACTCCGAAAGACAGAACGGTACTTCAGCTCAGAGAAAACCAAAACCGAAACCAAACCCAAAATAAAGGGTGGGATGGGGGTCTTCTGCTTTTCCTTTTGTTTCGGCAAAGCCTCAATTTTATTTAAATTGTAACAGAAACAAACACAACACACAGACAGATGCCTGCCCCCTGACAAAAGGCATCGCACAGTCGAACCCAAAACCGAACCCGATCCCGATCCCGAACCCCGAACCCCAAACCCCAAGCCCAAGCCCAATCCTTATGCGTTATTCATGAGCCAAGAAACATTTCGATCGCCTGTACCAATTGCCAATTGGTTCGATCTTGACTCCGACTCTGAATCTGATTCTGGCTCTGACTTTGACTTGGCGTTGGCGTTGGAGGTTCCCTCTCTCTCTCTCTCTCTCTCCGCAGACTTTTGACAATCTGCAGGCTTTGGCTTTGGCTTTCTGTGGCTGTCTTTGACTGTGGCTATGGCTGGGCTAAGTGGTTCATTGTCACCCCAGCGCCCAATTAGACACCTGAGCTCTGGGTTGTTGTGGGTGCTGCATGCCACAGATAAGATGTCCCAGGCGCTGGATTATAATAATGTTAATGATCTACGACAATGATTGTTTCTGCTCTGATAGATGCATGGGTTTCCATTGGGGTAAGATCTCTAATTCGAATATAAAGTTCATTACAAATGTCTCATGTTTTCATACTGGCTTCTGCAGTACAGGCATTCTGTAGTTTAATTATTTTACCAGTAGTCTCGATAGATCCCAACTCAACATCTCCGAGGTAGTTTCCCATATCTCGTCATGTATCGTATCTACTAAATAAGACAAAACACAAATTTACATATTTAGACTATTTAAAAACATTTTGGCTTGGGCCTATGCCGAATGCCCAACAAGGTCTATAAATACCCAATAATATCTATATATATGTGCAGACGTATATGCATGTATATGTGCTTATGTATGTGTGTGTAGCTGCAGCAAATCAAAAATTGTTCAAATTCGAAAATGGAACAAACGTTTTCTTTTTTTACAATTCATTTTTTGAGTGAGTTATAAAAATACATTTTCGGGAAGATATGCGAACATTCTGATGTATGATGATCTGTTCTCCCGTTAGATTTTGAAGGTGAACTCTGAGGTATTACATAACCAGTGGCCTGGGGGAGCAAGAGCAGGCCCCATAGCTGGAATAAACGCACGTAAAACGCCAAGCAAACGCTCGCAAATAATTAAGTATTAGAAATGTGCAAGAGAAGGAAATTCCAGGGAAAATTCAATGGCAAAAAAAAATACAACATGTGGCTGTTGTGGTGGTGGTGGTTGTTCCCAGCTGAGGCAAAAGCCAGACAGGCTGACGATCGCCTAGAAAGACAGCCGCTCTGGAGCCACAAAGTTGATACAAAGGAGAGGGATCCAGACCAGACCAGACCAGACCAGACCAGACCCGACCAGAGACCCAACTAACCAATTAGTAAGCGCTGCACAGAACGCGTCTACAATTGTGAGAACCTTAGACTTAGAACAGGCCAGAGACCCAGAGCCAGAGCTAGACCCGACCGAACCGAACCGGGCCAAAACCCAGCCAGCCAGGCCGTGTGAGTATGATGAAATGTCAGCAGGAGCAGCAGCAGCACCACCAGCAGCAGCAGCAGGAACAGGAGCTGCAACTGAATGCACTGCGAGAATCGAAGAGGGTATCTGTATCTGCATCTGTATCTGTGACCTCTTGATCTGCGACTAATTTATCATTAATTTAATAAAAAAGTGCATAAAGTGTATAACTTTTAGATCCGCTTATTAAATATAAAGTTTTCCATTCTCTAATATATTATTTCTCTCTGTGGGAGGAGTAGCAGGAGATGAACCGAGGACGGACCGAGTCGGGTGCCCGCTGCGTGGAGCGAGCCTTATATGAGCTAAGGCCAGCGGCAAACGTTCTATTTTGACAGTCATTATGATTAATTTAAATCATTAGGCAGCCCAGGCAGGTAGACAAACCATCGCGGAGCCGCAGAGTTCTTATATTTCATTATAATTAAATGCACGCGGCGGCGGGGCGACATCGACATCGACTCAACATCGACAACGACATCAGACATCATCTCGGAGCTGGAGCTGGTCCTGGGCCCCAGCCTGGACCTGGCTCTGGCTCTGGCTCTCGACTATTCGCGGAAGAGACAAGCTGGCGACAACGACAACGGCGGACCGAGGCCGAGGCACGGCGAGAGTCTGGAAAAGGCAATGATGACCATTTGCAGCTGGGGGAAAATGAAAAATCGAAGCGAGGAATGCATCAGCCAGCGACCAGCGACCAGCGGCCAGAAGTCTCCGAGTGAGTGTATCGATGTACAGAGATATTGTATACTCATCCTCGGCAGCACACTATCTCTGGCTATCTGTTAGTCGCTGCACGTGGCCAACACACCGCCCAGCGTCGACTCCCCCGTCATCCACCCAAACGACCATCAGCAACAGCAGCGGCGGAGCTGCAGAGGGAGCAGAATTTTCTTGCGAACATCTATTTAAGGACATTGGTGAAATACTCGTACTCCTGTGTACGAGTGTACGAGTGTACAAGTGGGCCCACCACGCAAATCCTCTAGAGCATTCTGACCATATTGGCCGAGGCTCGAGGCATTCCTGGCATAGTTTAAGTGTATCGCTTTTTGCCCCTGCAGCCGCCAGTCCGTGTACCCCAAGGGGTACAGCTGCAGAGGGTTGCAGCAGGGGAGGGACTGAGAAGAGAAAGGAGAGAAACAGAGAAATTACAAAATAACAAATTAACTTAATCAGCGGCTCTGATAAGCGAGACAGCAGCAGCGCGACACAAGAAAATGGCGTACGATACGAATACGAGTACGAGTACGAGTACGAGCATAATGTAATTACAAAACTCAATCACGAACGGGCCCCCAGAGAGGGAGGAGCCACGCTCAGGCCCCAAGATCTATGCGCAGGCGCAGTGTCGGCGGGAGTCATTCGGAAACGGAGAATGAATCGGCGATGGGAGATGGTGATGGAAGAGGTGCGGTGTACGGTACCGAATGAGTATGCATATTGGGGGCGTGTCGGCGGGAGCGTACGAGAAGGTATATACGTATGTGCACCTATGGCTGTATGGTTTTCTAATTAATTAAGCCATAAGCACACAGTCGTCTCGTCCGGACGACAAATAAATAAAGACGACCGACTCTTATCGCCTATGTGCACGACTACGACTCTCTTCCAGTCGAAGCGAAGAGAGCGCTGGCGGCAAGAGCGGCACTCTTTCGCGGGGAGAGAGAGAACCGGTCCGGTCCGGCTCCAAGTTTGGGGCGCAGCAAACTTTGTCGCTGCGCCGTCGCTGGCCATACGTTGGGGTTTATTAAGTATTTTGCAGCCATCTGAAGCACAACGGAGGCAACGATCGATCGCAAGTCTCAGCCCAGCTCCCGACCAAATCCAAATACAAAACCGAATCGCACACGCACCTACTCGCTGCGTACGTCGCTGCGGATCGTATTAGGCATTAAATTAAACACAATCAAATCGCCACAAATAAAGCCAACAACAGTCCAAACAAGTGCCACAGCAAACAAATGCCGAGCGACAAATAAGTCAACTGAACTGCAACACACAGAACACAGGCGAGATTTCCAAAATTAGAAAATAAAAACCGCACAAAGCAGGAACAACAGAAAATATTTACAATACTGTAAAAAAAAAAAAACAAAAACGCCACTCAACAATAAAACCAAAAATATTGCAAGGAATTTTTAAACCACTTGCAAAATCAAACGCAACGCATATTTAAATAAATAGTGTGACAACAAAAATAAATATAACACAAGCTAAATCATATTGAAGCAGAACTAAACCATAAAACCAAACAAATTAAAGCTGAAAATAGAAGAGCAAACAATCGAAGCAGAAATAAAACCGCACAAAAGACACCTAGAAGGCCAGTAAACTCTACCAACATAATAAACCAACACAAACGCAACATTCAAACCAAATCATCCTTTAAAAAACAAACTGCAACCATAATCAACTCAAAGGAAAGACACACAACGCATATTTTCGAAAGACAATTCAAATTTAAGCGCCACATCCCGCAGATTATGCAACACTAGGCAGGCGCGAGCCAGTCCATCCCTGGTTTCCACCACATTGCAACACTGTAGGACTGTCAGCTGTCAATTTTCTGCTTGCGGTGTTTGTGTGTGTGCGTTCGTGCGTGTTTGTTGCAAAACGACGGCGTTGCAGCCCAAAAATTCGCGTTTTGATCCGAAATTCAATTGTAGTTAATTATTTAAAACAATTGAGCCACGGCCGGCAGTGCCAGCTAGCGCAGGAGAGCTCAGCCGAACAGCGACGCGTCAGGGAATCGTGCAAGAGGGCCAGCGCCAGGGCAAAAACGCCATCGAATCGCGTTGTGTGCGGCGTGCGGTGTGTGTTTTGTGTTTTATTTTTGGAATTAAATACGGCAGCAGCCCCTGCCAGAGCAGAGCCAGAGCAGAGGAGAACAACGGAAAAAGTGTGCCGCGGCCGGATTTCACAGCAAGGTAGCAATAATAGACGCGCGCGGTGCCTTGGATTTCTACGGCTCCACCGTGGAGAACTTTTACCTGAGAATGGACCCGACGCGAGGTGACTCGCGCTATAACCTAAACTACTCGATGAGTAGTATAGGCCTTAGCCTCGCCGACCAGGCCGATATGTACGGCAATCCGGCGGTGGCGGCCCTGGGCGCCCGTCCGCCCAGCGGAGGGCTCCTGCAGAGCATGGGCGGCGGCGGAGGCGTGCCCATGCAGCGGCCCAATCCCACCGGCGGTGCAGCTCCCTCCCAGTGCCAGACCCTGGGCAACAGCCAGACGCATCACAGTCCCCAGCATGCCGCGCAGCAGCAACAGCAACAACAGCAGCAGCAGCAGCAACAACAGCAGCAGCAACAGCAACAGCACCGCGCCCTTAAGCGATCCGGCAGCGACTGCTACGAGGATCACCATCGATCAGCTGGTGGCGGCGGCCTGACGCTCCAGGGCCTGGACAACTGTGGCGCTGGCGGGAGTGTGGCCAGCGCCGGCGTCGACGACAATGTGGACGGATACAATCCGCTGCCCAACAAGAAATCACCGCCCGCCAACGGCAAGAAGACAAAGGGACGTGTCAAAATCAAAATGGAATACATTGACAACAAGCTGCGTCGCTACACGACCTTCTCCAAGCGCAAGACGGGCATCATGAAGAAGGTAAGCGGGGGAGTCGGGTCGGGTCGGATCGGATCGGAGCGGAGTCGCTCTCCAGATCCCACCTCTCCACCTCTCAACTTGGACTTGGGCCACTGGGAGCGGATGGGATGGGATGGGCATTGACATTGGACCACGTTTTGAGCGCATGTGCAATTAATAAATGCTTCTTCGATTCCAACTGCAGCTCCTCCTCTGGCATTGTCCAGTGCAGTGTCCCTCTTCATCTTCCCTTTTCTCTCTTTCCCTCTCTCTCGGCTATCGTTATGTGACCATCGGCGGCACAGTGGTCGGAATGGGATGATCCTCGAACTCTAAGGAAAGAGCCTTAGATCCGAATCGTACCTCTACCACTGTGCCATCGTGCTCCGCTCAGATCAGCTCTAGAACAGTAGCCAGAGATCCTCTGTTCTTGGTCCCCCCAATCTTCAGTTCCCCCAACTGTTGCCGCTTTGGCGGCGTTGTGTAAGCGCGGTAGCCCACGATTCCGCATTTCCCTTTGTTTTCGGCTTCATAAAATGTTAATTTGCCGCCGCAATTGCATTCAAAGGAGGCTACCCACAAGTTGCAAGTCCACCTTCATCTGTTGCTGCCCCATCCTCCATCCTCCATCCCAGTTGATGCGTGCTCCTTCTGTGTGTATTCTACCCCACTCATTGTCATGCACGGGCCGTGGCATTGGCATTTTCAAATGACCAATTTTCACACGCAAACTTATATAATGGTGGTTCCTACAACTGCTCCTCCTACTCCTCCTACTCCCTCTGCTGCTGCTTATGCTGCTTCTATGCTGTGCTTTCTATCCATCTGGCGGGTGCATATGAAATTTTTCACATTTTTCAAATAGACTTCTTTGGCCTCAAACCGAGCCTCGAACCGAGCCTCGAACCGAGCCTCGATCCGATCCGAACCGAACCGTACCGAACCGAACACCCGATCAAAATCAGACACAAAAACCATCAACATTGCGGCGCTAAATCACGATCCCAGCACGATCTTTGCCAAAGACACAAAATCTTATGAAATATTTGACCCAAGTCGGGGGGAAAAACAAAAAACAGAAAGCGCTGCTGCAGCTCCAAAAATGAAAGGCAAAAACATTGGGGGCATCGAATTTTGGAATACCCTTTGTATACCGAAGGCGTATCCTAACTGACATTCCCTTTTTGTCTATACCAAAATATTTGACCCCTGGGACACATCAGATCTCTTGACCGGTCTCGTCTGGTCTGGTCTGGTCTGGTCACTCATGTCGTTCTTTGGGTCCCTTCCTGGGGGCCGGATTTATGACAGGCGCACGCCCGAGACCACAAACCCTTGCCGTACGCCGTACGCCATACGCCATCTGAATGCAGAAAAAATATATATAATATTTCGATTTGGTGACTTTGATGTGGTCCCTCATCGATGTCCAGGCGATGTCGGACAGTTGACAGGCAGACAATGGGATTTTGACTTCTTGGCGCTACGGCCACAGGCCACAGCCAGCGGCAAATAAGAAACAGCAGCCAGCGAGGATCCCTAGCAACAAATTGCGGCCAATGAACTTGGCCCATGAAGAGAGACAGAAAGAGTGAAACCGGGAGACGGGAGACGGGGACGGAGATGGCAACCTGTTGGCATGCTTTCCACTGGCCAATTTTGGGCATTTTGCAGGCAGAGCGTGGCGTGGGCGGCGCAGAGCGGAGCGACACGGCCAGTCCCAAAAATGGCCACAAAAGTGAAAAGTGAGCTAATGTCCAGAAGTGATCTCATTTGTTGGTCAACCTAATTGCGTGGGCCGATCGATGGGAGCCGCGATTGAGCCACGGCTTCGTCTGCGCCAGCGGCAGCGAAAGCGCTTCTGCATAATGCACAATGTCCACACACATGTAGGTTGCTACTCCACAGACCCGATCCCCACGCCATGCGTCTCCCCTAACCCAAACCATTAAACATGGCCAAAAGGGCACAAGGCGCAAAATGCCGCCAAAAGGTGTTAAATTGAAATCACGAGGCAGGCCTCAGGCTCAGGCTTGAGCTTGGCCTGGTCTTGACTTGACTTGGCTTGGGAATTGTTTTCGGGGGCTGCTGCTTCCAGCACGGAAGCGTATTGATGCACAGAAGCGGCAGCGTCAGCACCAGGGGCAGCACCAGTGCGGCAGATTGTCCACAGATAAGCGGCCCCCAAGACCAGAGGCTCCTCGATGGCTGGTCGGCTTTGCCTTTTGGCCACATGCAACACCAACAGCAACAGCTACAGAAAACAACCAACAATCGCCTTCTAACAAATGACTCTTGCCGCTCTCTCTCTCCCTGCGCCTGGTGCCTGTTGCCTGCTGCCTGGTGCCTGCTGCCCGGTCTCTGGGGCTGCCTTGTCCTGTCAACAGATTTCTTACCCCAATCCTCCAATCCAAACCTTCTGCTGCCTCGTGTCGTGTCCTTTTGTCTTTGTTCGAAATTCAAATTGACATGAATTGTTGGTGTTGGATCTGGCCCTGGCCCCTGGACCTAGGGCACCATCCTCGGTACAATCGACACCTACTCAGAACGAGAACGAGAATCGAATGAGAATCGGATCCGGATTCAGATTCAGATTCAGTTACTGCTCCTCCTTTCGGACCGACCGTGTCAATTGTTTGCATTTACACATGTTACACATAAAATTGGCAGCCAATCGGTGTAGCAGCAGCAGCAGAAGCCGATCCCGAATCACAGATCCCAGATCCGAAGGAGCAACAATGTGTACAACAATTTCATTAATATTAATAAATGTTCCCCGAAGCGTTGGGCTGGCTGCTGCTTCTTGCCGCGCCAGTTATTTATGCGCTGTGTCTGCCACTCGCTTGCTGCACGGCAGGCAGACAGCCCGACAGCCAGACAGTCAGACAGCCAGACAACCCGACAGCAACTTTATCGCCTTTATAGTAATTACGAGCTGTTGATAGCCAGCTTAGGCTACTGTCTAATGTACGGACCGACTCCACAGCGAGGCGGGTCTATTGACTATGGAACTATGCATCTATCGAGATGGTTGCGTGACTCCTATGGCTTTTGCGTGGGAGAGCAGGGAACCCCAATGAGCATAAGAAATGGGTTAGGTTGTAAGCCTTTAAATGTTTCCAGATCATCTTAAGCACTTCTTTCTTTAACATACTGTGGTTCCAGTGCTTGGAATATTCGTTTTCTGAACTCTTTGATCTTCCTGAAGGAGGGTTTCCACATCATCGTTCCCCCATGATTTGAATCTGATATTCTTGATCGACTGGTTTCCACTGTTCAATGCGTTTTCTCCTCACGCTCCCATCTCTAATCGTTTTAAGGCCTCGTCCTCTCTGCCAAACTTTTGTTGCTACTCGTTCTTATCGCTGCCACATAATCGCATAGTTTGCTTGGGAAATTTATGTGCCGCTGTGGCAACACACGCTTCGACAGTTACCCCAGCTTCAGCCTCAGTCCCCAATCCCCATGCCCGCGATAGCAGGCGATACTTGAAGACCGATATCATCGAATACGAGTACTTAACACACGTTTCCCTTTGCTCCTTTCCACTCGTTGCAGGCCTACGAGCTGTCGACGCTGACTGGGACACAGGTAATGCTGCTGGTTGCCAGCGAGACGGGTCACGTCTACACATTTGCCACGCGCAAGCTGCAGCCGATGATCACCTCGGAGGCGGGCAAACAGCTCATACAGACCTGCCTCAACTCGCCGGATCCGCCCAGCGTGGGCGGCGGGGACCAGCGCATGTCGGCCACGGGCTTCGAGGAGACGGAGCTCAGCTACAACATCGCGGACGAGGACTCCAAAGTAAGACAATTGATTTATGGTCACCACGGGCACGCTCATCTCGCCCATCCGCCGGCGCCACCCTCGCACTACAGCCTCGAGCAGAGTCTGATGCAGTCCGGGTACAGCGGTGGCCAGGCCTCGCCCCTGTCCCATGCCCAGGCCTACGGCGGACATGCGCACCATGCGCATGTGGCCCACGTGCCGCCGCCGCATTCGACGCACTCGCACATGTCGCATACGCATGCGCAGCGCTAGGCAAATCCTTCCGCTCAGATTCTCTAGGCAATATATACTATATACAGATGTGGGGGCTGGCCTAGCGGGACGCAGCGTTCCCAGAGATGGGCCAAAACCCAATTAGTTAGACAGCAGTTTTATGTTTAGACATAGACCTACATACGTAGATGTTTTAGCAGATCCAAAGTGCAGCAATTTGGCTTGTATGTCGGAGTTTCGATATGTTTGTATGTATGTACATATGTACATAGTATGTCGGATTCATGGCCAATACGATCTCGCCGCTCGTTTTGTTCTTGTTTGTCGCAGTGTTTGTGTGTGTGTGTTTTTTGTATTTTTTGTATTAATTTTACATTATTTTTTTGTTTATTTCGTATACTAGTCAAGACTCTTACTTAAAGGCGACTGTGCCATAGCCAAGCTACAGCTAGCTCTCCCCTGACGATAGCTATAGCAGCGATAGCGATAGTACATTCGGTATATCCGATAGCAATAGATCAATTGTCACATACCAGCTGCAGCTTCTAACCCAGTGCCATTTCTACGACTAGAACCACTAGAACCACTAGAGACACATCGAGACACAGCCGAGACTGCTTAACTTAGTCCTTTTCTTACATAGAAAACATAAGTGCAATGTAAATGTAACTAAAAGAGTTAACAAAAGGGGGAGATATACATACTATACATAGAAAGATATTATAAAGAATCATCATTGAGAGAGGTATGTGCTGTACAGAGTCTAAACAGGGGGTAAACACGGCCAAACACCCAAAAGTTGTTGGCAAGTAAATAAAAGTCCAGGGAGTGTATTCGAATGCGCCGGCGGCCATTTTCCTTTGGAGTGTAAGTGTGTGTGCGTGCGTGTGTGTGTGTGTGTGGGCGATGAGCGTGCTCTTTGAACTTTTAAGCTTATCCCAGAAGCTTAGCTTAATTTTAGAACTATTTATAATTGTGAAGCTATTATGTTTATTTGAATTGGCTTTCGATTTGTTTATTTTTCGAGTTTTATTTGCATTCAAACTAAACAAAAAAAAAAAGACACTAACAAATTGTATTCAAAATTGTTGAAGACCCCCACTCACCCTTTGAGCTCACCCTCCATTCCGCGCACTCTCCCTTTCGTTTTCTACTAATATTTATTGTATATTTTTATTTAGAAACCAAATTAAAAAGCAGCTCAAAGCTAATTTCCACCACTCAAACGCAATTTAAATTTAATTTATTATTTAAACTTAATTTCATTAAATACAAAAAGAAGAACTTAATTTAATTAGAGATCGCATTTCTGTCAAACAGAAAACAAAACAAAAAAAAAACGAGAACAGAATTTCTTTAATAATAGTTAAATTTACTATTTATGATAAATGCTCGTGCAATCCGCAGAAACCGAATCGAATAACCCTAAAACAATTTATGTTGTAAGCGAAACAAAACAATATGTTTAAAAAACAAACCACAAAATAGTATATCTACCATATATAAAAAGAGTATATGCATATATTTTACTTAGCGCAATATTATACATTAATAAACAACAACAAAAAAACATAGTTTAAACAAAAGCACACAAATAATGTAAAAGTGCCAGATGCTGCCGCCAGCCCCAACACACAGATTTTTCCAGCTTCCAGTTTCAAGAGCAAGGTTAAGAGCGCTAGATAAGACCCATTCCCTACCCCCCTCCCACCATGCCGGGGACAGCTCTCAAAAGTCTGTAGTTATGGCCTACACAGAATGTACAGTCCGCAATCCACACTCCACCACACAATCCACGCGTAATAATCGCCGAATCGGAGCGAGTGGGCAGCCCCTCTTCTCTGCTCTGCCATGCGCTGCTTTGCCGTGCGCTGCTCTGCTCTGCTCTGCTCCCTGTGAATGAATTTCTGTTTTCGAGCATATGCACATATTTCTGTTTTTCCTTTCAACATTCGGTTGGGCTGTAAAGAGCTTCCGCTTCCACAATAGACCTCAGCCAAAGCACTGCTGCGCGGGGGCTTCTTTGGGGGCCCTGTGACGTCATAAGACAGACAGCGGAATACGGGCGACGAGTTCATAAATCGATCAGAGCACCCATTGACTCTCTTGTGTGTCTTGTGTGTCGTCTGGCCCGGTCTCGTCTCGTCTCGTCTCGGCTCGTCATGCACCAACAGGCCTCAGATCCGATCCCCTTTCCCCCTCACCACTGTCTTGGCTTGGCTTGGCTTGGCTTGGCATGCAAATCGCGTTTCTTACTTTTCAATGCCAAAGCTATGGCCCGGGCTCCGGCTCTGGCTCTGGCGGTGGCTGTGGCCCGGGCTCTGGGTCCCGCGTAGGCTTGCGCGATGACGTGTGCCACTGTAAGCCCCGATCTCTCGGAGCTCTCTCTCTCTCTCTCTCTCTCTGCCTCGTAGATTTCCATTCAGTTCGAGACGATGAATGAAAGCCCCCCAACAGCCAAAGAGCCAACAACGAGCCAAAGATGTTGTGGGTGTGACACCAACGCCGGTTCAGGTCATCATTTTGTTGTTGTTTCTGCTGGAAGCCCCAGCAGCAGCTGACTTGACTGATAAAAGTCATGGCTGGTACGCGGCTGCTGCTGCTGCTGCTGCTGTAGGTCGTTCTGCTGCCGCCAACTCTTTGTCCAGCCAAGGTTAATTGCCATCATGCAGTGGGCTGTTGTGCCCCTGCCCCCTTCCACACATTTACCCGCAGTATGCCCGAGTATATATTGCGTACATATCTGCTCGTGTCTATCGGTCTGCGCGGGTGTCTTGGCTATATACTCGAGACTCTGCGCCGATTGCCTTCTATGGTCGCTCACCTGCGCATCATCTCCATTCGCCCACTACTTCTACATTTTCTATGATCCCCCAGCCTCAGCCCCCAGAAAAGCACGCAAGTTTGTTGGCTTTTATAATTTCGTTTTTATTTCATTTCAATATTTCAATACATAAAATAAACAGTGGAGAATCGGAAGAATGAAAGAATCTAAAATTGATATGATATTCATTTTGTATTTAAATATGGATTGTATGTAAGATTCTTTTGCGATTAATTTACCTTTACGAGGGGGAACTCTTTTCAAGTAAATACCAAACGTAAAAGGAAATGGATCGGATCTCTAAAATGTACTCCTCTTTCCGTTTAAATTTGAACTGGAACCAAATCCAATGGAACTAGTTCCAGTTTCCTATAGTGTTTCCCCTTTGTACCCTTCTCCATACACACTTTCTTGTACTTTTCGCGTTCTGGTGCCACCTTCAATCCCTGTACAATACCCTCTGCAACTCCAATTTGTTCGACCGCTGATTCATTTTCCAGCGAACCAGCTCCCGAACCGATCCTGAAGCGATCCTCTAGCAATCCCCCAGCAACCTCCGGCCCGCTCCTCCAGCTCCAGCTCCAGCTACAGAGGGAGCACGAGTGCATATCAGTTTGAGAAATTAAAAGCATTTTGCGGTTCCGCTGACTATCGATGCTGCGTGCCGCTCGAGCCTCTAACGACATTTCAATGATTTGCTGTTTTGCTGTTGCTGTTGCTGCTGCTGCTGCTGCTGCTGTTGCGGCAGCAACAGACGCGTCACCAAGTTAGCCACGTGCGCAGCACAAGACGCAGGAGCAGCAGGCGGAGGAGGTGGAGGAGGAGTACAAAAGCATTCGCAATGCTCGTCGATTACGTACGAGGGCGACCTCTGTCAGGCATCGTCCAGCTGTCCAAAAGCCACCAACAACGCAGCCACGCAAGGAATCTTGGCTTTGGGTTAACTTCTTTCTCTCTCTCTCTCTCTCTCTGTCTGTGTGTGCGTGTGTGTGTGTCTTGGCGGATTTTGTGTTTAAGCCGCCGCTGCAAGTTCTAACCGCATGCCGCCACAATGTCCTCTTAATTTCCTAGCCCCCAACGGCAGCAGCTGCTGCGCGCGCTCTCCACGCGATGATATCGTCGCCGGCTTCAGATCCAGAACCAGGTCTCAGGTCTCAGGTCCCAGGTCCAGGCCCTGGACACAGCCACATCTACAGCCACATCCACGTCGTCTTCTGTCTGTGCGCTCGTTTTTTAATTCAACTGATTGTACTGCGGCTTCTGGAATTCGGCATTTCTTAAAGCCCGCGCGGCACACACACATTGTGCGGCTGGGGAGCGCGCGTCGGCAACTTCTGGCGACTGCCAACTGCTGGCCGCCACCACATCTCCTCCTGCTGATGCTGATGCTGCTACTGCTGCTGCAACTCCTGTTGGGGCTGCCGGCCGCCGCCGCCTTCGCAATCTGAAAAGGTTAAGAAATGACAATTTGTGAGCGTTTCTTTTTGTTGTTGTTTGTGTTTTGTTTTTGTTCAATTCGTTTTTGTTTCTCTCTCGTATTGCTTTGTATTGTTTTTTGTTTGGTTGGTTTCGTCTGGCCCGGCCTGGCCTGGTCTGAACTGGCCTGGCCTGTCCTGTCTCTCCTGTCCTGTTGCTCTTGGCCCTGTTGCTTTCATTGTGATTATTTAAAAGCCTGAACACTGGACTCTGGACGCTGCCTGCTGCTTGAGAGGACCCTAACGAGGCGCTTTCGGCCTTTCGGTACTCACATTTAGTTAAGCAATTATTGGGCCTGCAATGCAAACAAATAATGCGTATTGTACATTGTGTGCCCCTCCATCTCGCCCTGCCTCCCTGCCTGCCTGCCTCTCTACCCCTTTACTTTCGGGGGGGACTTACTCCAATGATTTTCCAAGTTAATCAAAATTCTTTGCTATCCACGATGAAATCTCAACGACCTTCTCCTCCTCCTGCCGCCGTGACTCCTCTCTAGCGCCGT